GTAATTTTTCAATGTACTTTTTCATTATTATTGTTTAAACTAGGGTCATTATTACCCATGTTTTAGAGTAGTTTTTTCCCCAGCTGAAGTAAAGAAAAGCTAACAAAATATTCAAATGTTATTCAAAATATTCAGATGTTTCCAAAGTGTTACAGTTTATCTCAGTCGCTTCAGTACATTTATCAGATCATCTTTAACAACAAGTGCATTTCTCAAAACTGTCGTGGAAACTGTATTGCTGGTGAGGCATTGAGCAAATAATTGAGTTACAACAAACTGTTGTCTTTGAAGAATTTATTAGAAAAAGAGAATGACAGAGATGTACTACAAAGAAAATCACCTGGACCAGAGACCTGCTGCATAAGGCAGCTTCAAACATCTGGCCCAGAGCAAAGGGATGCATAATCACTGACAAAGTCTAGATTTCTATGTTTTAGGGAACAGAGATGCTCTCTCAGCCTTAAATGAACATTCAAGGAGAGAAGAGGAATGGCAAGAAAGGAAAACACTTAGACAATCTCACAGCTCTGACCTAACCCTACATATGTGGACAGACTATTATATTGAATATAATAATTAACAAAGGTTAAGGATAGACACAATATATATGAACAATAATAGTAATAATAGAACGTGCATAAAATAATAAATGTAGGAAGAAACTATTTTCTGCTATTACAAAAGCAATTTGTTCAAACAGCATCACACAATGGATTGCCTGCATAAGCCTATAACCTGCTCAAAATCCTTAGTTTATCTTTCAAATATTTGTGCCAATGAACATGTCAGTACGAAAAGTCCTTGTGTCATTGCTGCTAAACAAGATAGTGAAAGTACTTAACCATGTTGTCAAACAGTGTATTCTCTGATGTAAACTATAGCTAAGACTTGGATGAAAATGATTGAAAATGCACATAGGTGTCATTTACGCTGGGGACAAGTTCTGAAATACAGCTGGCAGTTAAATAAATGAAAATGCTTTTAGAAAGGTTTATTTGCAAATTATAAAACATGCAATGCAATTAACATATAGAAGAAATAAACGTGCATTGGGGTGGTGATGGGACAGTGGATAAGACACATGCCTTTGGTGTGAGAGACTTTGGTGTAAGACCCGGGTTCGAATCCACTGTGAGACACAAGATACTTAACCCCTAGTTGCTCCAGAAGCGTGTGACCTCTGACGTACTTAGTAATTGTGAGTAGCTTTGGATAAAAGCGTCAGCTAAATGAAAAATTTAAATGTAATGCATTGTACAAAAAAAATAACTTAAGTAACTAATATCGCGTATCGTGATGTCTTGTGAGCTAAGTGTCTCTTCACACTCCTAATCTGAGCCCCTATGTCCCCACCACTTTTCAACACAAAGTGACGCACAAGGCATCCAGCATATTTTATATAATTTCAACAGAACAAAGTGACACATATGTATTTGGGGCACATTTGCACCTTGACTGTTTGTACTGTAATTTATTTTACCATTTCATTGCTCTTAGGCTGTTGGGCTACAGACTTACATAAAAAGTGACTAGATGATGTAGAGGTTGACCAAAAGGATTTGAGAATTTCACTGATGATCTAAAAATTGTACCAAAGCGACTGAGAAAAACTGTAATTCATGCAGTTGACAACAAAGAATTGATGTATGATGTGTTTAACACTTTGGCACTAGTTGCCTCGGCACTATACCTGGAGGTATAGCACTAATGAAAAAACAGTTGTAAAAGGCTACAGTTGTAAAAGGCTCAGTTGTGATTATCTGCAGCTGCATGAGGAGCTTGAGAGAGCCTTTGCTCGAGGCTGACCTGAACCGACACAGAAAATCCACACTGTGGCTCTTTGCAACAGAGATAATGGTAGGAGCAAGTTTTCTTGCAGTCGAACAGTGATGTTGCAGTGGGATTTCGTTCCTTTAACAACAACGTCACTGTGCTTCACTAACCCTACAGGTCACTCTACCTGCAATCAAACAGTCTCTCCCAGAGCTGCTGTTCTTCAGCTCTCTGAAGAAAAGCACCCAGACGGACAACAGTCAGTCAAAGGAGTCAAGAGCTTGTCTGGCTTACCTGCTGTTTGTCCAGCTCATGAGCATAGACAGCTTTCCAGCAGTATTCAGGTGAAATGATGAAAATCCGTAAATCTGGTCAGAGTGTTGATGCACATTCACTGACATACAGAACAGAAAGTGCTTAATTTTACTGTCCTGTTTTGACATCGTACCGTTTTCCTGCTCTTCCAGTCCTGTATTTGTTCTTCAGTGCAACATGGAATACATCAATCAGCTACTCAGTAGGTACGCTGTCAATATATTATGAACTGAATATAACTGTTGATTTAAAATTATTGATTTCTTAGGGTGATCTATAATCTTGTTTATTTGACAGCAAAAAGGAATCGCACTTGCTCAAAGGACTGGTAAGGCCACATCAACGTGCAGAAACATGATGGGGGGAAATAATGAAAGCAGAAAACGTCATATTTATTGGGCATCGTTTTATTTTTACTCAGGCACTGTATGCAAAAAGCTTGGAGAACGTGCAGGACAACAGCCTTCCAGTGAGTCTACTGGAACTGAAGGGCTTCTACAGCGTGCCACAGGTAAGACGAGCATGTCATCAGGCTGAGTTTTACAGTCGTAAAAGCTGCATTAAGAATTTTACTGTCACCTATCACAAAACGAGCACAGTTTACTTGCAGCGGTCTGGCAGGGTGTTCGTCAGTACCACTGAATCGCTTAATATCTGAATTACTTTGAGGTGATGAGTTTGGGTGTAGGATTAGGCTAAAATATAAAAACAAAAATATAATAATCATTTTAATCCAAATTAAAGCAATGAATCTCTACTGGTAATTCTACGAATACAATTATTATTGCCAGCATAGTGATCTCCAGATGTAGTTGATTAAAAATCAGTGAACTATCTTAGTGCTTTTGGCCAATTAGTGACTTGTGGTGCGCTGAAATTCACAGAACCTGCAGCAAATTCTTACTGACTGCCCGATGCAGCATTTGGTGAGTACACATGAGGAATGTGTTTTACATGCGCGATACTGTGAAACACATGAATTTGTTGAACTTTCTTTTTTGTGTGATTGCTGCTTCCCCAGAGAAAGTCAGGACTGCAGGTTTTCCAGCTCTTCATCAATAAATTAGATGCTGAAGCAAAGCACAAGTTCTTCAGGTGAGAGAATCATGAGTACTGTATTTGTGCTTTATATGCATGTGGTTCCTTAAAAAATCTTCCACTGTCAAATGTATTTAGTATCTACTACATCATTTTGTATATAGGTTATCTACGTTTCATATTTTGAACCCATTCTTCCTAGTTTAAACAGCTGTTGTATTCCACCCAATTATTTTTCTTTGCTGTTTTATTTTAGTATTGTCTGCAGCTACATCTTATCTTGTAGCCTACTGATCTGAAGTTTATTAACAAAAGTCATATTTCTGTTGCAGGTGCATGTTAAAAACCAGCAACCATGCAGGAGTAGAGAGTTATATAGTGAAAAACATCAAGAATCAAGTAGAATTTTCAATGGGGGTGAGATAAAATATGTGCATACATAACTCTGTCATAAGAATTGAGAAGATCCTGCCTTCTTATTTGACCTTACTTTTGATGGCTCTGGTGCTACTTGATCTGGTGATTTGATTTGAAGGTGTCTAATGTTGTTAACTCTCCTCCAGCCGGGTAATGCCAACAAATGGTTCCTGGGAGAGGAGTTCCTCTTGCTGCTGGGACTGGTGTTATATTTGCCACAAGGTGTTGAGACAGATTTGCTTAACAGTATGGACAGGTAAGGAACATGAACAACGGTTTCATGCACAGACTAAGCTGCTCATTTCTTAACTTTTAAGTCTACACTAGGCATAATCCATTAACTACACATAACATACATTTAATATTTCCCAAAGCACCACAGATGTTTTGTCAGCCTGAGAAGTCCCTTAGTGACATTGTGGACAGTCAGAAGTTTATCAAATGCTGCACACAGGAGCTTTTGTTTGGCTTCTTCACAAACCACATATATATTGTATACAAGAAATGCTCTAGCTATGTATCTCTGGTGTGTTTTGGTATGTTAAGAGTCTATCGATCTATCTGCCACTAAAATGAAGACTACATTTCATGACATACTGAGCTAAATTAATGTAGATTTAGATGTAAAAATATGTGACGCAATCAATTTCAAATTGTGAGAAGAAACGTCAGAAGTGGGACACTTCGTCCACACTGAACCATTAAGCGATGACCTGTCTTTGTTTGTGCAGGATAATGGAGAGTCTGAATCTCCTACGCTATCTCCTTATCAGAGATAAAGAGCTGAAGAGCACTGTAAGTCAGTCTAATTCAACACGTTCGCTGCTCTTCTGCCAGTTAGCCTGGTTAATGTAGAAGGCTGATCATTTACCCCTCCGTCCTTCAGACAGGTGTGTGGGAAGAGATGTGCAGGATCAAAGACGAATACCTACAATTACTGCGTGTGTGTATCAGCATATCAAGAGCATATTATTCAGCTGAGCTGAAGGCACTGAGGGAGGATCAAAAGCTTAAAGCAAAAGGTAGGCAACAGCTGCTAATCTATGTAACAAAATGACATTGAAATAACCTTGCACAAATGGTGGTACAAAAGTCTGCTTTCACACTGTGAACTCTCTCTATTTTCCTCCCACAGAAGGTAGAGATGCTGCTAGATCTGCCAGATTAGTCAAAAGCATAACAGTGAAACATGAGGAAGTGTCCAATATGTCCCCAGAGGTCCAGCACCAGGTACAGAAACAGACTTTTTTTCTATTATCATTTTGATTTTGGCCTCCTATGGTACGTAGGAACAAGCTGACTGTTCTCATGTGTCTCAGGTGTTGCAGAGTGCTTTGGTGACATTTGACCTGATGGAGAGTATTATCGTCCGTATTGAAGAGATCACACAGGAAAAGCTGAAGATCCCAAACTAAACCAAGCCCGCTTGTGCTCAAGTGTCACTTCAGACCACTGGCTTATATTTCTACAAACAGTTTTATTTTAGTTTTTATTTGACCGATTAATAAGACATGCATTGGATAAATGTGAATTTTGCTAAAGTTATTGCAAACAATGAAAAAACAGAATAAACTGTGCTAACATACTGAAACACATATTTCACCTTTGCTTTTGTATATTCACCAAGGCTTGTACTGGTTAGCATCAAATAAAACTGAAAATGCTGGATCACCTGTTGAGCTTCAAAGAAAGTCTCTTAGCATCTCCCACACAGGACTGCTTTCAATGATGCGAGCCCGAGCCAAAGACATCCGGTCACGGATACTATCTACATGGGGCTTACTGGTGGCCTGCAAACAAATGAGGGAAGGAACAACGTGCATGTGTAATTTATTATCTAGAATGACCAAATAACTTTTGTGCACTGCCTTTATCTTTACCTTGGCAATTGTCAACATTCCTTTGACAATCTCGTCATTGTTTCGCACAGGCAGGATCCTGAGATTGCTGCCAAAGAATCTAAAAGAGAAAAATGCTCCCTCAATTATTGCATTATTACTACATTGCCTAATTGTTATTATTATTATTATCATCAAGTATGGCTACACAAATATAAATCTTAAAATTGCAATGCTGATGTCAGTCCTTGCTACATTAGTGCCAGCCAGGCAGAACAAGGGGGTAACCCTATCTACCTGTGTTGAATCACGGACATGATTTCCAAGTCCTCTTTGCCATTAAAGGGGGCGTGTAGAAGAATAAAACTGTTGCGGTGCACTTGCACAAACGTCTTTATCTTCTCAATGAGTCCAGATTCCTCAAATCGCACCGAGAGGTCTTGAGGGTCAACCAACAGAAATGCAATACCTAGGCAAGTAAGTTATTGATGTCACCCTTATTAAATTCAACACAAAATGGCATTGTTTACTGTCAGCTTACAACCCATTGCAGATAGGCTTACAAAGAACATGATCTGTGATGTCAAGTCCAGTTAATGATCCAGTGACAGCCTATCAAAAGTAGGAGCCCTTTGTTTGTGCAAAGTTAATGTTGCATTCTGGGTTCAAACATGTGCCGCAGGTGTATTGGATAACTACTTGTCCAGAGGGCTCTATGTGGCTGGTATTAAAGGTTATTATATAAAGCAGATATACCTGACAGGGGGAAAATAAAGGCCCCGGGCTCAACGCTGTCTGAAAATCGGATTCGGTGCTGTCGCGCGCTGAGCATCCTGTCTGTACCATGGTTCTGGGAAAATAAAGATTATAAATGAACGTAAGCAAGATACACTTAAAAGTCAAGCAAAATGTTTTAGTCAGAGTAATATTTTGCCCAATTTACGTTCATCTTCGCATACATTTTGCGTTTTTTGCTTGTGGAATTGGTTTAGCTAGATAGCTAGCAACTTCATTTAGGTAACTTAACCGCCAATCGAAACCAAACTCAACCCTTAACTTACCTGCAGTGACGTGCTGACTATAATCGTTGTTTTCCACGGAGGAGTCGTTCCTTGGTGTGTTGCCATTACCTACTGCTCACCGAAGGGCAGATTAATTGTGTAGTTGTGATAATGATACCCCCAAAATGATAATTTTTTGGCGCGTTGGACCAGTGTTGTCCCCACGGGGCATTCGCACGAGACGCACGAGCATCAATTAACAGGCAGCCACCAGAGGCCGCTGTGGTATTTTAGCAACGAGCTAATGAAATCCTTAATGAAGGCTCAAGGCATGTCTCAGCAAGCAAAAATCAGTGAGCGAATGTTAATGTCTTTTTTTGTGGGTTTCTCTTTTTTTCCCCTACACCTATGCCTTTCCTGCTATGACACCTCAAACAGTCTAAGTGTAGTTTGTGTGCCAAGAGGTAAAATTCACAAAACTACAGAAAAAAGCATAAATTTGAACCTAAATAAGTGTACTATGTCCATGTCCTCCAAAAAAATAATCCCTCTTACTCGACAGTGAGGAATGCTTAAATTTCTTTTCCCAGAAACACAAAACTTTATTTTCAGTTTGACATTAAATGCAAGCCAATAGGCCGATATTATTTTTCTTTAAGAAACTTCAGTCAGCCTTACCATCAGAAGACTGCCATGAAAAGGAAATGTTTTTTTTCTTACTCTATTCTTTTCTAGAGCTTCGAAGCAACATCAATTGAACAAACATACAAAAATATCAGCATGCACAACAGCCCACGTGTTAAGAAACAGTCCAGAGGCCATAATGAGGAATGCAAATAAGCTGCTGAGTCCTGCAGATTCCAGAAAAGACATGTCAAAAGGAGAGGGGACAGAATAATGATAAATTATAATAAACTAAGACAAAGCTGATGTGAAGATGTTCAAAGTTCATAGAGATGGCGTCAACTGTCCGGCAGGCTCTTCCTCTGTGCAGTCAGTGATGGGTTTCCAGTTCTACAATGGTCCACTCTCCCTGTGGAGACGCAGCATCTTCTGGGGAGAAGCTGGTCACTGTGATGCTGGTGGAGGAGTCCTCCATGGGCGAAATGAGCTCCGCCCAGCGTTTGAAGGTCTCCTTCTCTGGGGACAGGAAGGCCTGTGAGTCCAGGCAGTCACGTGAAAGGGACAGTGTCTGCTTGATAAGGTACTGGGCCAGGTTGAGCTCCTCAGGCACAGGGTTTATGACGCCCAGATTGGACTCGTGGTCCGAGAGGAGCTGCCTGAGCAGGCTCCAGTCCCGCTCTGCAAACTCACTGCTTTTGTTATCGTCTCCTCTTTGCTTCTCTTCTTCCGCCTTCCGTTTAACATTCCTGTCCTTGTCCGAGCGGCGCTCAAAGGCTTCTCCAACATCCATCTCGTAAATGGGAGAGAGGGCTTTGGATGACCGGCGGTCATGTTTGCAGCTTTGATCCAATCTGTCACAACCATTGTCCCCTAAAAACAATTGACAATACTGCAAAATGACAAACTGATTCATTCCTCCACAGTTCTTTTAAATTAAGAGACTAGCCACTGCCTACTACAATGAAACAGTGATTACTGAAAGTTTACCCTTAATGCAGCTGTGTCCTTTAAAAGATATTCCATAGTGAAGATGGGTGAAGACAGCACGGTGGTGAAGCGGTTTCATTAATGGTCACAATATGGTCAGTTAAATGCCAATACCATTACCGATTTTAAATTCATTAGTTTGAAATTCACCGATCACTTCAGATATGGATGTCAAGGGTAAACAGTTGCTTTAAAGGTAATGCACAGAGGAATGTTTTTCTGAATGCATCTCTTTATCCACCTGTTCAAACAAAGTAAGCCATGCATTGCCAGCACCAGTGAACTTTGCATTTGTCAGTGAGTAACAGTGATATGTTTGGAGATTTACGTGCAGGTCTTTGACCAGGCAGACCTAACAAACAGACTTAAATACTGTCACAAAAACCTAAAACGCAAGCAACAAGGTTTGACTTAGTAGCACAAACGACGGCACTCCACCAAGTTTCTTTTGACATTCTTTGTGTTTTCTAACAATTTCAAAAAGGCAAAGGATGAAGTGACTGATGACTGTTTGATACTGGAAAAAAAAAAAAGAAAAAAAAAAAGAAAAGGAATAATTTACATGTTTGCAATGGGACAGACTCAGTAATGGTGCAGTGGGATTTCTTTTTCTGAATAGGATAGTGAAAAAAGAGAGACATGGCAGAACCATAACAGCTGCTCTAGACACATCACATACTTTACAGAGTCTACTGACACTACACAAACCTACTGAACGAAAGCTTATAGACAACAAAATACAGTTTTCTTAAAAAAGTGGACACCTATGTATCTAGACACAAGTCTACTGGGTATGACAAAAGGTAATGTATATAAGGGAGAAAAAAATAAAACATACAGACATGATGGATGGATGGTATGGGGGGATGACAAATTAATTTTAATAGTAGCATGCATGTGAGCAGTGCAAAAACAAAACAGAAAAAACAAACAAACTCAGGTACATTCTAGAACAGAAATAAAGATAAACAGCAAGGAGATGCAAGGCAAACGTTTCCCAGTATAACACACTTTTCTGAGAAGCAGTGGCAGTTTTGGGTCATCTATTTTGTAGAAACAGTTTCTATCGGATCTTAATGTCAGGTAGCCACACTACAGAAATAACAAAAAAAAAAAATAAAAATCATTGCTTGTAATTTACCTGAACACAAATTTTAAAGGTGCTACATATAGCATTTTAACACCATTCTGAGATGTTAGTATAATTACTGTAAAAAAGACCATCATTGGGAGGCCAGGCAAGAATGTCTGCGATTGACGTGTCCAACAAGATCCAGGATTGTTTGTGCTTTATGGAACAAAAGAAGAAAAGCTCATGGAGCCACGCGTTTGTGTTTCTCAAAATGAAAATGCTGTAATGAATGAAAAACCAAACATATTTATCCTTTACAATAAATACTGTAGCAACATGTTTTAGACAAGAAGCAATGGGTTTTTAGGATATGTAGTCTAAATGTGAAGAATCAATATCACTATTGGTGACATGATATAAACTTATCTTAACAAGGGTGTGACGGTAATAGTAATTATACCAACAAACCACAATTTATTTGGCTATTAATGATGTTAAAATGATGTGTACAGCACCTATGTCAAATTATCTATGGCTTAAAAGGCCAAAGACTGTTCCACTGCATAAAATAAATGACAAAAATAATCAGAAATTCTTATTTGTATGTACATAAAAGTGCATTGGTATAACTATTTCACAGGCCTTGTCACAAGGCAGATTCTTTTTAACAAATACAATTGTACGATCAGTCTTAATGAGGAGTACACTGCTTTACCCCTTTTTTGTGTGTAAACTGACTTACCAAGGCCTAAATGCCTCTGAGTAAAGGGAGATCAGTTGTTTAAAATGTACAGTTTGGGTTAATTGTTATGATGAGACCAATCTCCATCTTTAAAAGGATATTGATGTTGCAAATTCAAAGTTACACCAGCTTCACAATCAATGGGTTGAAATGAGAGGAAGCTTTTAGCTTTGAAAATATGATGACTGATTTCATTTGAATTTGAACTTGTACTTAAGACTAGTTACTGAACTAGTGTGCTCAATGATATCCTTTTTCTGAAAGTGGGATAGGTATAACTGGGATGTAGGTAAGGTCTAGGAATCAGAGCGGAGGAGAATGAATCTTGCAGGGATAGACTATACTTTCACTTATGGAGTTTAGGGATAAGAGATGAGGTTCAGATTTGGGGTCTAGGAAGGGTCCATAGATCATACATTACCTGCTGGAGATTGTGCAGCATGTACAGGAGAGTCCCCTGTCAGCTGAGGTTCATTTAAGTCTAGATGTAAATCAGCTTTCTTGCTTTCCGAGGGATTGATGTGATTTTTGCGCGGGCCTCCATTGTATTGTTCAGTGTGCCGCAGATCCAGGTGGCATGGGCGCTCCTGGGGAGGGAGATCTTTAGTGTCAGAGTCCAGGAGAGGACCACTTCTCTTCATTCCATCGGCGTGGTTACTCTCCTCCTGCACGGGGTCCTCGATCTCTGTAAGGAATATGGAGCCATTTTCTTCCTCTTCCTCATTCTGTTTTTTGTGCTTCATACCTGCATTTTCAAGACGGCACGGCTGGTGGTTCTGTTGGTCACTTGAAGGGGCACAACTGGAACGAGGAGCTGTAGAGTCAGACTCGAAAACATCACAGGGAGTCACCGCATCATCCGGCAGTCGAGGTGGTGTTTGGACCCCGCCCTCTTCTGAGCCCAACTCCTCACACTCATCGACAGATAGTAACACTGACCGACGGAAGTTAGAGGTCGACTGGTAGTCAGGCTGGTCATTCTCCTGGTCCACACCGTCATCGTCAAAAGCTAGGTTGACGATCCCCTGGAAATGTGGCGAGGGTTCAGTAGGCGGCAGCGGAGCCTCACCGGGAATCACCTCAACTTCAGACCTCTCGTCTTCCGTCGCCTCTTCGTCTTCTTCGTCCTCAGAGGAGAAGAGCTGGTGGTCAGGGACGCCTTTTACAGTCACAGTGGTCTCAACCTCCGAGTGCTCCTCCTCTACAGGAACCTCATCTCTTTGCAACCAGGAGCGAGGACGCTGTCTTCCTCCCTCCTCCTCGCTGGTGGTCTCTGCTTCTCGCCCCCGCAGCCGTACCTCCACTCTCAACCCCGCACCACCTTCGTACATCTTCAACTCCTCTGGGGTGCTTGTGTCACTACTACTGCGGCCCAAGAAGTCATGGCAGCGCATGGTGCCACACTTGGAAACACCTCTTTCGTTGGAGCAGTCGTCATCTTGCGAGCCTCCGGCGTCGTAGTCCTCTGAGCGGGGCTTGATGTCGTCAGAGGAAGTGGTGTGTGTGCTGCCAGTCTCAGACTCGGGGCTGACCTGATGGTGAGTGCCGCTCCAGGAGTCCTCTAAGGGAGTGTCAGTGCTTCCCACACTGCAGGCGTTGTCTATGGGGCGTTCAGTGTCTCTCGGAGAATTCAGGGGCCTGGCGTCCTGAATTTCCCCTCCGGTGACGTGAGCGGGGATGACACCGCTTGGAGACTGTTTACAAGTGCCTGGATTGGCAGATTTGACATGGGAGATGGTGTTAACTGCTGGTTTAACACTGGTCTCATCACCTGCACTATCAGTGTTTTCATGCTGCTCAGTCTTCCGACTCTGCTTAG